TTTATATATAAAACAGCTTCTATAAATAATATTAGGTTTTGATTAATCTAAATAAAGCCAAGCAAAGCTATATGGATAATGGATAAAGGGTGTGTTTAAATTCACACTATAACATCCCAAAATCAGAACAACCTTTTAGGGAAGTCAGATTACAAATCCAAACAAGAGCTAAAGTGCTGTCAATGATTATTTTTATTTATTTATTTATTTCCTGGGTTCAAAACATTGAAGATCAAAGTGAGGAATATATAGATTCATCATATAGTATTGAATGTTGTTTTGTTTTGTGCTTAAGAGGATTGAAATGAATATTGAGAAGGGTGTCACAATGGGACCAGGAATAGGATGGAAACTAACAAAGGAGAACAATAAATGAGAGAATTACAATAGAGGCATACAAAAGAGAATAGGTCATATGAAACAAAATGAGCCAGCTCTTGGTTGGGTGACTAGTGATCCATCATTGCCCCCCACCATTAATTGTGACTATGACCCTCCAGATGGCTTTTCCTTCCTCCTTCACTTATCTTCTAGGAAAAATAATAGAAAAGTACCCATTAAATTTTAAAATAATAAATAGATGATTTTGATATATTTGACTTATCAAAATTATTATTAAAATAGTCAAAATCATTATAAGAATAGTTAGTATGACCTATTTGTTATTTTTGAAACTTAACAGGTATTTTTTTGCCATCTTCCTTACCTTCTAACACATAATTTATATCCATTTTTTATTTTAAACTATAGAAGCTAATTGAAATATTTTTTTTAGTCTTAAATATAAATTTTTAATTCATTTTATCTCTGAAATTTATAATTTTTTAGGTTATTTTCATTGATTACATAAATTAAAAGAAAACTCTACCAAAAAGGTAATCATTAAAATGAGTGTTTAAAAGAAAACAACACAAGTCTATTATAAATAACTAAATCAAACAGTTACTAATTTTTTGTAATATTTGTAAATTAATAATTTAGCTACATTTACAAGTATAGGAAACGAATATAGATGTTTATGCATGTATCTTTCTGTGTCAGGCATTTAACATGCCATATGAGTTTCAAACTTGGGGACATTGGGGGGGCCATTTTGCGTGTGTATTGGCAAAAAGATTACAAATCAATTTAATGGAAGAGAGAGGGAGGGAGGGGAAGTGTGTGGATGACAATGCACCATTTTTTTATTTTAAAAAACAAAATTCCTTAGCTGGAAATTTGTTATCTTCATAAATTCAATTTTGGGGTATGATTTAGCATCTCATTAATCAAGTACAATAAAGTCTTTTTTTATTAAAAAAAAAAAAAAGAACTTAGGAGATGCTTAAATGACATGGTTCTCCTGTGTTTTTACCTCTATATTTATATTTTATGATATTCACATCAAAGATTGAATTGATTAAAAATCTCTACTATTTTTAGCTTCATGTGATGTAACTCCTTGGTTAAAGTTGGCTTCTCCTCAGATCTTGGATCAAAGGGCAAATATCAAATGATTTCTCAGTAATTAATTTCAACATTGCTATTTAATTTATGTATGAATTTTATTATCTCAAACTTGTACCACCAAAAACACACAAAAAGAAAAAAAAACCAAAAAGCAGGGGAAAATGGGAGCCAAGTGAATGAAAATATAAATAGTTAGACATGGATAGATGGTGTGGGGGACGCAGGAGAATGTGATTGGGTATTTGTCCGTCAAGATCTCCCAACATTATAATTGGCACCAACCCAACACGGTTTAGATATCCATCTCCCTCCCTGCTTGCATGTTCTCTGACCAATCACCTTTCAGCCTCATGACTTGGCAAATCAATCTAAATTTTGGATCCTCCCTAACATATACAAATTATATTGCTACATATTGCTAAAAAAATTTCAAAAAAAAAAAAGAAATCAAAAGATGATTTGGAGTTTCTCTCTTCGGAGATCATAGCATGATTTGGAGATATCCCATAAACATTCTTAACTGATCCTTAACTAGTATCCAACTCAGATCCACTCCCCCCCCCCTTTTAGAGTGAAATTTCAAAATCTCACATCCAAGGATATTCCATATAATTAAATTTGACTATAACAAGGACGAAGTGGCTTTACTTCAAACCCCTAACTGAATTAAAGGGGTGTTTGGCAATCTCCAAACCATAGTTTCAGAAGCACTTTTCTGCAAAACGAGACAAATTCCTCTACATATTTACTTTGTAACCATAAAAGCACTTTTAAAACCATAGTTTAGTTTCCATCCAAACACCTTCTAAATTTGATTACAACAAGCATGAAGTGGATTTGAGGGCCCCAGAATTTGTTAGGATGAAGGATCGAAACAAGTCACGATTGCCAATGATTCGGTTTTTAATTACTTCTTCGATTCTTAATATCGAACTTAATTATTAAATTAATTTTGGTCCTAAATATAATACTTATTTCTCATATTTATCAATTTTCTTTATATTACCTTTATTGATACTCCCTCAATTATAATCAAGTAGAAAGGGAGAGAAAATATTAAAAAAGATGATTATGGTGTATTAGGAAAGACATGTTATATTTTTTATAATTAACTAATCTATTTAACATTTTTAATATAATCAAATTAATTAAACAAATCTTATATTAAAATTAGAGAAGTACTAACGATAACATATCTATGCGCACTTTGATGAACTCATAGGAGATATTGGAAACTTTATAACTAGGGATCGGACCAATATTTGGTAAACATATCTGTGCAAATAAATAGATCAAATGGGCTTGTTTTAGTGTCTTCAAAAAGAGAATATAATATTATCTAACCTTGCGTTTTTAAGCAAATTACAAGATAAATATTCTACTAACAATAAAAACTAATTTCCTTCCCATGTCCGAGACAAATGGTGGTAGATACTTCAGTTTTAAGTATTGGAATTACAAAATTAATTCATAATGATTAAAAAATTAATTAAATTAGTTATTATTTAAAAATATATATTAACTTTTTTAAAATACATACTTAATTGAATTAAAACTACCTCTTTATAAAAACCCTTGAAAGATAATCAATAAAAATTGTAAATTTAAAAGACAAAGCAAGTTAGTATAGTGATATCTTACATTTAAAATCAAGGCTAAAATATAATCTTAGTACTTTAACTTTATCTAATGTTTCAATTTGATCTATTAACTTTAAAAAATATATTTTAAATTCGTTAACCCTAAAATCATTAACTACAAATGATAATATTATGATATCAAATACTAATATATTAAATTTAATATTTAAAACAACCATGATTATTACAAAAACCAACTAACAATTTTAAGATTAAAACTATACCTTTTGAAATTAAAAGACCAAATTAATACCTTCTATAAAATTAAAAAATTAAATATATTTTTTAACCTAAAATAAAAATAAACTTTCTAACTAAATCTTCCATTCAAACAATAATTGGGACTTAAATTCCTAACAACTATGTGAAGTTTTTAACACTCACGCCTACTTGAATATGTAGTGATAGCCTTTTATTAATTAAAAAACTAAATAACTAAATTATATAAATTAAATTATCCGATTTATATTTTAAAAAATAATTAAATCATATGTGACACGGTCAAATTGAGGCTTGCGCGTGCACGCACGCAAGGGGAAGCTAGTGAGTGAGTGCGAGAACCACTCGTTTTGTGTGGCTGAGACATGTCCTGACACCACACCAACCGGACCATGCAGCGGCCCCCATCCCTCCAACCCCACGCTTCTTCAACTCGCCCTCTTTTTCTGGATTACTATTTTTCATTCAATTCATTGCATCTACATTCATCGACACCTTCTGCTTTCTTTCTTGTCACCACTTGTTCATGGAAATCTTCTACATCTTCTAATTTAAAGGGGCATGTAATGTTCTTGACTATGATTGTGGAATGGGATTATTGTTTTTATCAAACTCCAAGACCCTAGTGGATGACTTTGTTATTCAATGCTACATAAAAATCAGACAAAACTAGATGACGAGTAAGATTAATGAATTAAGTTAAAATCAAATGAAATGAAGAGACAAGAACGAAAGTCAACGGATCAACCAAGTATTTTACCCTTACAAAATCTTTGGCTATTTGATCCGATGGAAGTTAGTTCGCTGAGAGGCACCGTTTTCTGCATTCACGCATATTCAGATTTGAGACTTCGTGGTTAAGTGACCAGAATTTCTTCCACTCTGATCAACCCCTGTTTGATATCTTTACAGCATCCTTCTATTTGAGTATAATATGGCCATATGGGGAAGCAATCATTCCAAATGTGCACATTTACAAGTTAAATGTCCATGTGGAAGAATATGCGTGTGTGTGTGTGTGTACACACAGACGACAAACAAGGTGAATTCCTAGATTAAAAGACCATAAAAATCTAAACGGGTAACATTTCTAAGCTAGAATACCCCCACCAGATACACGCATGTTGCGGAAGATATTTTCATAGTTCACTTTCAACATTGCCCAAGGACATATATCTTAGATTTTTTTTTTTGGTCCGCCGGCTGTAATAAAATTTGGTCAAGATATTTTCGAAGCCTGAGATTCACAATGCTTCCTATCCTTCCAACAATTAATGTGATATCTATAGAGTAACAAGTGTGTCACTGAAAATTCAAAACAAAATAACCAGGGCAAAGCATGACCAATTTTCAAACTACCAACATGAAGATATGCATGCACCACCAAGTTAAAAATTTGGAGATGAAGAGGGAACTAAGATAAATCAATATCGAAGAATCTGTTGGTGCCAGTGTTGTCAAATATCGAATTATCAGTTCCCATTTGTCTGGATGCAGATTAGGCAGAAGTGCAAACCCACTTGCTCGAAAATGACATGGATAAACCATTAGAAGAATCATTTTGCCAAAAAGGTAACTGAGATAACAAAAATGAGCTAAAGCTACAGCACATGGGGGGGCCACATTCAAAACTACAGAGATAACGAAATCTTGCTCAATTTCTTTATAATCCGCACCAGAACCGACCTTTTATCTTGTACAATTCTACACGCCTTCTTGAGCTCTCTAGCTCCAAAATCAAACCACACATCACTCATGGCGGTTCCCAACTCCAGCAGCGACTCCCTTGCCATGGAGAGAACCGGGAACTGGTACTTTGATGTGCTAACCCATCAAACACCATTCTACTTTCTAATTCGTGCGAAAACAGTCAAGGATTGATTGAATTGGTTTGGTTTCTTATTGCAGGGTTTTCTCTCAAGATATCCCAACAGATGTTGTTGTTGAAATTGGAGAAGCAAATTTTTCTCTTCACAAGGTAGAGAAAATTGCATGTTACTTGTACTTTTCTGGGTTTTGTGGTTTTGTTCACGTAAATCGTTAAACTAACTCAACGGGTTTGTGAATTTTTTGTTTGTTCATGGTGTTGTTGTGACGGAGCAGTTTATGCTTGTGGCGAAGAGCAACTACATCAGAAAGCTGATTATGGAGTCTGAAGAAAGTGACCTTACCAGAATCGATCTTTCTGATGTACCTGGAGGGCTTGAGATCTTCGAGAACGCTGCCAAGTTCTGTTACGGCGTCAACTTTGAGATCAACGTTCACAACGTCGCCGCCCTGCGTTGCGCCGCCGAGTACCTCCAGATGAATGATACTTACTGCAACAACAATCTCGCCAGCCGTACGGAAGAGTTCATCTCCCGGGTCGCCTTAAACAGCCTCTCCCGCGCCGTTCTCGTCCTCAAATCTTGTCAGCAGCTACTTCCATGTGCTGATGAACTCGGTATCGTCAAACAGTGCGTTGAAGCTGTTGGTTCCAAGGCTTGCAACGAAGCTAACTTTCCAAGCCGTTCGCCGCCGAACTGGTGGACAGAAGAGCTTACCATCCTCGACGTCGATTTCTTCGGCAAAGTGATCGCCGCCATGAAGAATCGCGGCGCGAAGGCCTTGACTCTAGCCAGTGCGTTGATTACCTACACTGAGCGTGCGCTCCGGGAGTTAGTCCGAGATCACTCCGGTGACGGCGTCAAGGCAGCGAATGTCGCCGATTCCAATTCCCTCACCGAAAAACGCGAACTTCTCCAATCCATTGTCTCTCTCTTCCCCTCGGAGAAAGCAGCCTTCCCAATCAACTTCCTCTGTTGCCTCCTCCGGTGCGCGATCTTCCTGAGAGCCTCGAGCAGCTGCATAAAGGAGCTCGAGAAGCGGATCTCGGACATACTCGAGCACGTGACGGTGGACGACCTCCTGGTACTATCGTTCACCTACGACGGCGAGAGGCTCCTCGATTTGGACAGCGTGAGAAGAATCATCTCAGGTTTCGTCGACAAGGAGAAAAGCACAGCGGTTTTCAACACCGGCGAATTGAAGGAAACTTCAGCCGCAACTCAGCGCGTCGCCAAGACAGTCGACACCTACCTCGGCGAGATCGCAGCCTATACAGAGCTCACCATCTCCAAGTTCAACAGCATTGCCGTTCTCATCCCTAAAAGCGCAAGAAAAGTCGACGACGACCTCTATCGCGCCGTAGATATCTACCTCAAGGTACATACTAGCAAATTCCCGTTCCCAAACACATCCAATTAACTAAACAACACCATAATTCATATCCTAACACACCGATTCACGTTTTTTCTTCTTGCAGGCACATCCGAATCTGGATGAAATAGAGAGAGAAAAGGCGTGCAGCGTGATGGACCCTCTGAAACTATCATACGAAGCGCGTGTGCACGCGTCGCAGAACAAGAGGCTGCCTGTACAGATCGTGCTACACGCGCTGTACTACGATCAGCTGAAGCTGAGGAGCGGGGCGGAGGACAAGGAGGCGCACGAGGCGAAGAATCAGCAGTTGCAGACGGACGTGACGTTGGTGAGAGAGAACGAACAGTTGAGGACGGAGCTGACGAAGATGAAGATGTACATATCGGACTTGCAGAAGAACGTTCAGGGAGGGACATCATCTGGTACGGGAGGCCTCACGACAACGAAGAAGCCCACGTTCTTCTCGGCTATGTCAAAGAAGTTGGGGAAGCTTAACCCCTTCAAACATGGGTCGAAGGATACGTTGCACTTGGAGGATGGGCCTGGGCCTGTGGATGTGACGAGGCCCAGAAGAAGAAGATTTTCTATCTCCTAATTTTTTTAAAAAAAATGTTTTCTGTGATCTGCACGCTTGGATTATAATATAATTATTAATTAATTAATAAGAAGAAGATAACAGTTATTTAAATTTCTGGTGATGGTGAGGGCTTTTGAAGTGATTATTATTGTATAAGACATAAATAGAAGCAGTTGTTGTATATAGTCTTTTTATATATTGGAAAGGGTATTCATTCCTCTTGTTTGTTATGTACTTGAATTGAAGCTGTCTTTTTTTTTTTTTTAATTTTTGGGTTTTTTACGTGAAAATAAAAAGGTGGGTTTTAGGTTATGTGCGTACAAATTAAAGGCATGTAGTCAAAAGTGAATGCTTTGAATTTGGGTGGGAATTTGAATGCTTTATGCATAATCATAACATCAACAAATTAAACCGTGTTGTTATAATACAATTTAATTTGTTTGTGGAATATTTGTAGTATTGACTAGAAAAAACTTTGACCTAAGAAAAATGGAAACGCTTTAATGTATATAATGAAAAATAAGTGACGTTATGCTTCCTAAGAGTGCCCATATTTTGCTCATACATTTATTTAAGGAGAGAACTAAGAGGAGTTGGGTCTAGTGAAAAGAGTTAGTCTCTCATAATGTAATGAACTAAAGTTTGAATTCCTATTAAAAAGTTGCAATAGCAGTGCACATAGGTAGGGCTGTGCAGGGCAGGGCCCTTGCCCGAAGCATGAGCTAGTTGCAATCCCTGCCCTGCCCGTAGAAACCCTAACCATTTTGGGCCGGGTATAGGCAGGCTGGGCTGGGCAGGTTTTGTTGCCCAAGAAGTGATGCCCTGCTCATGTCATAAGGAAAATTTTTTTTATCCATAGCTAAAAATTACATTTCATAATTCTACATTTTAACACATTGAAATCATCCAGAAATAATCCAAAATAAGTCTTAACAAATATCCAATTAAATAACATCAATAATCTATTTAAAGCAAGACAACTCTCAATGTTGTAATTGAAGCCTTGAAATTCAAACGATTTACATCAATCTCCATGATTTCTAGAAAAAGATAGAACACCCAAAAAAATACAAATAAAAATAACTATAAGTTTAACATATTAGAAAGTAAACAATAAAAAAAGAAATTACTTCTAAACTTTAAAAGATGCATTGATGCACCTTACCAACTTGGTTAGTCATGCTTATAAAAATGAATCTTCAATCACCAATAGCCATTAAATTCTCCCCTCCAGGTGTAATAGCATCTAGGGGGAAAAAATCAAAGAATAATTACATTACAAATTATGAAGTAATATAAATATATATATGAGTTATTGAGGTTTAGGAGGAAAAAAAGATTACTAGCAAGTTGAAGGACATTTTCTATCTCGTCAAAATTATCGAACTCGCGAAGCTTGTCAGTAAATTCAGACATTGATTGCCCAACTTGTAGCTAGTTATGGCTACAAATTAGTGCTTCTGTCATTTTAGGAAATAAAGAGCTCCTATAATGATCAACCACACATCCTCCAGTGCTAAAGGCAAACTCAGAAGCCACTGTAGAAACTGGCATAGCTAATACATCTCGTGCCATGTAAGAGAGATTTTTATATTTTTCTAAATTAGCTTTCCACCATAAAAATATGTCAAACTCAGTTGCAGAAGGGATTTTATCTCTCGAGTCAGTTACTATATATCTATCTAACTCAGTTTGAGGATCTATTGAAATTCTTTGTTTTATAGATTCTAACCACTTATGACCTGGATCTTTTTCGCCATTATCATCATCATCAAAAGAAGGCAATGAAGTTGCACCTGTTGTACTTGTGGAGATAGTCCCTGATTCAATAGAAACCCCCGTAGAGTACTCATTAAACAACCGATACGAACAATCTTTGACCCTCTCCTTCATAATTAAACATACTTCAGGATCAACGTAAAGAAGATCAAACATATGATTCACATATGCTAGTTTATATTAAGGGTCCAAAATGACAGTGATAAAAAGCAATAGATTTATATTGTCTGCTTAACCCCAATACTTGTCATATTTCACCTGCATGCTAGTGCTCATTTCTCTCAAGAAGTAATTAGCATTATTTGTTATATTCTTTTGCAGTATTTTCTGAACACGAGCAATTTGGTAGAAGCATTCATTTGCTGATACAAAAAGAAAGCTTGAAAATTTCAATGTTATGTCATACGAAACCTTCAAGAATTTGATGAAGATTCGAGCATTATTGCAATCATCAATAATAGGACCAAGAAAGTTATCTTGGTCACGTCTAATACCATCATGCTCTCACCTAGCAGAACTAGAAGCATCACGCCTAGAGCTTGAAGTGCTTGAGTTGAAGTATGAAATATAATCATCGTCTTCATCACACATTCGCTCAAATACTTTTTGAAATTTCATTGCAGCTTTTAACATTAAATATGTTGAATTCCATCGAGCAGCTACATCAAGGCAAACAAGGCTTTTGGTGTCTATTTTTTCAGTTTTAGCTCAAGTTTTGAATCTTAAAAAGCGTGCAGGAAAAGAACGAACATATCTAACAGCACATCTAATGGCTTGAAAGCTATTTCTTTAATACCTTCATTGACCACCAAATTGAGGATGTGTGCACAACACCTTAATTGTAGATAATCACCATCACAAAGTAAGCCCTTCCAACTCCTCAAACGCCTTTTAAGATATCCCAAAACTCAATCATTAGCTAAGGCATTATCCACAATTATGGTGAACACTTTCTCAATCTCCGAATCCAACAAGCATTGCTCAATGGTCCTCCCTATAGTATCACCTGTATAATTTTCAATCATAGCAAAAATTGAGAATTCTTTTGTGAAGCTTCCATTCATCATCAATAAAATGTGCTGTCAAACATAGGTAGTATGACAATATTTACAAGCTGTGACAACTGTTCTTTCAAAACCCATTTAGATTAAATCAAACAATTTATTTGAAAGATTAACCATGATAGAAAAAAAGAAACCTTAAAATTTTAAAATCATTATCATGGTTAAAAGAAATAAACTTATATCACGAGCAATATTGATCATTAACTTAGGTCTTGGACTTCTAAAGTCCAAAAATATCATTCAACCATTAGCTCAAACCAAACTTATACTTTCAAACATACTAACTGATAAATCATTTTAATATAAGCTATGAAGTCGATTAATCAAAGTCAACACTTTAACGGAGTATCACATGCAGAGTCTTAGAGGTCTCTGGCTTTCTAACAACCCCTCATATAGGATAGTAGTAATTAAAAGTATTAGTTTACAAAATTAGAGTAGATGAACCCTTTGTGGCAATATATAATAAATCAGCACATAGAACAAAAGCATGGAGGCTATACAAGCTATAACAGTATACTATGCCTCTGGAGCCTTCCCTGAAGGATCACCACCTAAACTATCACTTGAAGATAGTAGAAACCACGGAGTGAGACAAAAACCTCAGTAACCAACATTTTAACTCATCATACATACTAACATGTGCTAGTGAGGTGTCAAGTGGGACAATTATTGAATCTCAAGAAATATAGATATATCAATAAAAATATAAAATATGTATTTTCAAATAATCTCAATTATTTAAACCCTCATTATGGGGGTTAACATACAAGCCACATAAGTCTATACCTCACTATAGGGGATCGATCAGACATGTAGGCCTATCCTACACTTTGAGGGACAAATAAAAAGTCACAAAGGTCTATCCCTCACTCTAGAGATGAAGGAAGCCAACTAATATGCACCAACGACGGCCTTACCACCTGGTAAAACAAAGCTCAATACAAAATCCAAATAGCAACTAATCATTTACAATCACTAGTACAAAAAACTAGTTTTGGCATCTGTTAAAAATGAGCTTCTACTATTGCACAGGGTGAGAAATGGAAGGTGGAGAAGTGAAAGTTGGGACTTACGGCATCTATCATAAAGCAACAGATATCGTAAGTCACAGCTTATGGCTTCTGTTGCATTAGGCAACAGACATCGAAAGTGTTATTTTTCACCAAAAAAAATAAAAAATAAAAAAGCATAGAAATCAGGTAATTGCCAATTACTCCTGAGCTAACATGTTCAAGCATTTCTATACAAATCCAATGTCACATGGAGTAAAAATATTGAAGCCAGCCTAAATTCCAGTAATTACATAAATTTCAAATAGCACATAAATATATAAGCCATATGCCCTGTCTAATTTAGCTGCCATGCCCTTCAAGCTGGAAGTGTTATTGCAAGAATGACATATCAGATACCCAAATCCTCTACCTCCTCCACCTAAGAATACTATTTCGCATGAGATGCTACCTTTGAAAAACATATAATAAAATTTTTAAAAAAACTTTGAAATATGGAACTAATAAAAGAAGTAAAGGAACATCAAAGCCGATCTCCTCACCAACCTAATTATATCCAGCAAGGATAGCTCCAAGCAACAACTAACGTACCCTCAGAAAGAGAGAACAAAAAGGCTTTTCTTGATATCTCAAAATAAATCATAAGCATATTATATTGGACTTGCTTCTATGCATTTCTAAATTTGAAAGAGGAAAAAAAATTATAGAAACTTGCCAAATTGTTGGATTTTTCTCAAATGTAACTAAATGATCAACTATGTAAGGAAAAGGCAGCACCCACATGCACATCATTTAGTTTTATCGTTTGCTTTATTGTTCTGCAATTTTTGTTTTCTAAGACAAGAATTACACAAGCCAAGATCTTACCATTACAAGTAACAACTTCACTAGGATGACAATAACTAAAAGACTCCAATAAAGACTGCCATTATAAGCCAAAGTAAATGTTGATCAGAACCAGTATTTTGATAAGAACAAACAAAGAAAAATATGACCCATAACAAAATACATCATCTTAAAGAGTTTAACACAACATAGCTCAGTGTTTTAGTCTAAGACTGCCTCGAATCATTCAGCACAAAAAAATTATGGGTAACAAGTATTGTATTACAAAATTGCAAAACAATAGAAAACGCTCAAAACAAGTCATATTTTGCGTTCTTCGGTCCATCACAGTAAAAGTATAAGCCCCTAGTAAAATATTAATTTCCCAAATAAATATGACACAACTTTAAACAAATATACCTTCAATCACAAGTGGCACCCACATCATCCAAGTCTCTTCTAGCATCAATCTTCAAGTCATAACTAATACAAATCCACCTGTATAAGATCACTGGAAACATGCCAAAGTATCAAAACACTAGACTCATG